CTTGCACACCAAGCAAATCTAGAAGCTCCCTAAAATTCCCCACATGCTAAAAACTTTGGCCGCCTCACTCGACCGCGTTCCCGCGCACGCGCGTGATGCGGAAGTGGCTAGGCAGCTCATGAACGCGGCTAGCCGGGCCTATCACGCACGCAAGAGGCAAGCACGAGCGACGATAGAAGTACGTGTGCTGGAGCGGAGTACGCACGAGATGGGCAAGGATGGGCTACACGCGGATGCACGGGCAGTGGACGCGGCTGGCATGCGTGGCGTGGACGAGCCAGTCGTGCGTAGCGCAGGGTCGATGCGGGTGCGCACGGAAAGACCGGGCGCACGGGATGCACGCGCAACGGACGTGTTGAGCATAAAAATGATGGGCATGTGGTAACTGAGCTACCCGACTCGGGTCGATCTCGAAGGAAGGCTATTCGGAGCTTCGTCTACTAGATGATCGTCCAAATCACAAAAATCGAAAATAAAATCCTAAACATTCTAAGCAATTGATTGGGAATTTGATTAACACTAATGAGCACTTAACAACGAGCAATTAATTGAAAGCAAGATTAAAAGACGAGCAATTAGCTAACTAGATCACCGGAGTCTCACGCCATAACCATAACGGGATGATAATCAATCGACATACGGAATAAACGAGTCACGAGCATTAGATAGCTAACCCTAGTCGTCTAAACTAGATCAACGAGCAATTAACGACTCTATCTACTCAAGCAACGCCATCAAGCATAAGCATTTCCTCCATCATCAATCAAATCCAAATTTACCCTAATAAGCATTATAAGTAAAAACAAAGCAAAAACCGAAGTAAAGAGCTTTAAAACTAAATACTCATTCTTCCATTGCGTAGACGATGAAAAACGGAGTCAAAAGCTCGAAACTTGAACGAAACCGAAGTCGCCGGAAAATCTTCCGGAAAATAGCATGAGCTCCTAATCTAGAGAGAAAAATAAAATAAAAGCTGATTTCCCAAAATGGAAAAGTGAAAAATGATAGTTGGATCCCCAAAATGCAAAGGACAAAATGTATTTATAGTCTAGCCCACACACACACTAAATACGCACATTAAAATGGGACACTCTCGACCACGTCGGAAAATTCGCGAGCACGCGGCAGAAGGAGGGCGCACTCTCGATCACGCGGTTATGCACGCGAGCGCGCGGGCGGAGACGG